GACAATTGTTACCTATCATAGTATTACAATACACCTAAAATACATGTGACAATTATTATCTATCATAGTATTACAATACACCTAAAATACATGTGACAAGTGTTATCTATCATAGTATTACAATACACCTAAAATACATGTGACAATTGTTACCTATCGTAGTATTACAATACACCTAAAATACATGTGACAATTGTTACCTATCGTAAGTGTTACCTATCATAGTATTACAACACACCTAAAATACATGTGACAATTATTATCTATCATAGTATTACAATACACCTAAAATACATGTGACAAGTGTTACCTATCATAGTATTACAATACACCTAAAATACATGTAACAAGTGTTATCTATCATAGTATTACAATACACCTAAAATACATGTGACATTTGTTACCTATCGTAGTATTACAACAGCACCTTTATAAAGCAGAACTATAAAACGTTCCTAACTTTTCTGGTGGTTCCATACGGTTCATTAAAAGAACTAAAGAAAATCAAAACGTTTAAAAAAATAGTTTCAATTGTAATTCGGACGGGTTACTGGATATAAGATTTAGTCCACCTTCTACAAAAGGTAAATATAAGGCATTTCTATTAACCCAATGAACTTTCCTCTAAACATATTGTATAAAAATATAGTTGTAAAATTCTTAGAATATTCTTAGAAATATGTGACACATAATACTACTAATAATTTGATTAATAATTAATATTTTTTCCTTTTAATGATAAAAAATGTTTAAAATGTTTCCAGAATGTAATAAGTTTACTACATTTCTCTTCCAGTTCATCTCAGTTTCTTTGAATCCACACCAAAGAATTTCCTAAATACACTCCAGATACTTTTATTTCTTGATTCGACCATGTATAGCCTAGTATGTTTTCTGTTCGTGTTTTCCAAGCGCCAGACCATAAACTAAGGGATTTTTCTTCATTAAACTGTGATTCCGAATATACTTCAAGTTCCTTTACTGTATTTTGAATAACATTAAATTCTGACTCATGTCTAATATAAATGTTTATATCTTCAGCACAATACGATAGATGATAACTGAAACTTGATATTGATCTTAAGAAACTAGTTTTCTTTTCTTAAACTATAAAGAAAAAGTTTTATTGCTAGTGTAGATAAAAATCCACTTATAGGATCTCCTTGTCTTACACCCCTCTTTAAAAGAATAGCCAAAGTTGAAACCGACCAATGAACTACATAAAATATGGTATTTTTATATATTGCGTCAACGGCTTTTATAAAATTCCCGCCAAAACCAAATTTTATAAGTATCTTTTTTTTAATAATTATGATTTATACGGTCAAAGATTTTTTCAAGATGTAAATTCACAATAGCTAAACGATCGAAATTTTAATTTGCGAGATTTATCATATCACGCATAACATGTATATTATCATAA